AGGGAAGTGGTGCTGGCTCCTACTCTGGGGGTCTTTAAGAAGCGGCTCGATGCCTACCTGGCTGGGGTCACTTGAGCCGTTTCCCTCCTGCCCAGGCAGGGGGGCGGACTTGAAGATCTACAAGGTCCCTTCCGACCCTACTTCTATGATTCTATGAACCAACCAACGTTTTTGTCAGGAGAAGCAAACCATGGATCATCACCTGAAATGCCCTGTAGCACCACAATGCACCCCACAAGATTTGGCAACATGAACACCAGAAGCAGTAGCCTGTGCAGAATATTGGGAGCAGACCATATAGAAAGGGTGGAATTGACACACAACGAACAAGAAGACTAATGAGTACACCACTGAGAGGTCCACAGATACATGCCGTTTCAAATACAACAGCTTCCACAGATGCACTTATAAAGACATAGGCCCTCTCCTTAATTTACATTTATCACAATGTTGTTACTTCATTCAAAACTTTTTAATCAAATTTCTGTGAAGACTTATACTTGGCTCTGCACAGGTGTAATAAGAGGATAAAAAATTAGAGCAATGATTCTCAACTGAAGCACTGAGGCACCTTGGGGTGCTGTGAGGTTGAGGGTGCCATAAAATACTAGCATTGTTAGCTGTGGAAATACCTATACATGATTCACTAGATTAAACCCAGACATTTCAAATAGAAATCCATGGTGTCAAAGATACTCTGACCTGTTGTGGTGTTTCTGTGGTCTCTGCAACAGAAAAATTGCTCTATTATTTTCCCATAGTCAAAAAACAAGTGAAGCTAAAAGCCAACCTTTTCTGAGGGTGCCTCAGATCTAACGAGGGGTACTTTGAGTCTTAATAAAGGGTCTAATAAGGTTGAGAACCATTGATTTAGAGCCATATTTTAGCAAGAAGGACCATGCACCCACCTTTGGCTTTAAACAGCTGTCAAGGATTGAAGCAAGATGGAATAGGATTACATTACAATGCCTATTAAATGGTAGAGGATCCAGGCCTTAGAGTTCAAAGTGCACTTTTGATAGTTCTGACTAAAAACAACTATTTGTCTACCAGTCACAGCTGCTTACAGTATGGCAGATTTGGAGTCTCTGCTGCTGAGTAACTACTCACATGAGTGTTTCCCTTGATTTCAGTGAAAATATTCATTGAAGTAACTGCAAACCAATGAGTGAATCAGTCTCTTACCTTAATGACTCAAATGTTTCATTACTGTTGGTACTGCAGAACCAATCTAAGAGTGAATGATCTTGCATCTTGATCCTGCGTCCTTATCAGCTGCCTGTGAGTTGTTGGACTGCTATTAATGTTCTGAGTAAAAAGAAACTTTGGGCAAGCACTGAGGTAATATTATAGTTTTACCATGATATACATGTATACTACATAGAAACAATTCATAGATACTACACAGTATTTGTGCATACTAAATATTTTAGTGAACATAGTAAACCAGTTAGTCCAATTTGGTAGCTGTTGGTCCCAAAAGCCCCAATTCTGCAAATGCACTTTTAAAGCAAGCAAATTGTCAGAATGAAGCAAATGGGATTACCTGAAGATAACCACGGGATTACCTCAAATTAACCACCTTCAGGAGTCATGAAGCTAACCATGGGAATCTCACTTGGAAGATCAGGACACACACTACTTTTAATCTTGAAAGACGTTCAGATATGATAATGACAACTGAACCAGAATAGGTAAGTGCAGATTTCAAAACGCTGCAAGTGTATTGCAAAATGTACAGCATTTATTCACATACAGACAAAAAGGCACAATTCTACTAAATATTTTAACAAAAAATACAGCTGTCTTCAACTAGGTCTTTATAAATACTTCAAAAAAGGGGGAAAATAAATACAGGATTGGGCCATGTAATATAAAATAGTCATCTCATCTCTACATATACTTTTTAATTTCTGATTCTATCTGTTTCTCTTCATGCACCTTTTTATTTTAGCTGAATGGACACCAAAGCTAGGCACATAGTGAAAAATCCTCTGTACAAGGTTTTACAAATGTAATGACATTTTTTTTCAAATTTTTAAAATAATTAATATTTGTACACATGACACGTATAACCCTTCATTTAGATTTGTATGTTTATAACCTAACAAATGGCATTCCAGGCAACTTTACAAAAGTTTAACTAGCCTACATTTTGACGTAAAACACCAATTATTATCAAACAGATTTCTTGGTCAATCTGCACAAGGAAAGGTAAAGCTTAAAAAAAATATTAGCAAATGTTCCATACCAATAAAACACAAGGGATGGGTCTGAGTTGTCACTGCTGTACTTATGACTCCGTTCCTGC